CGGCTCGGATTGGATTGGATTGAATTTTGGAATAGTTTGGAGACATGGCTTCAACAATTAGAAATGAAGCAACGACTTGCAATTTCACCGCAAAACTATTATACACTTCCGATAAACATTTTAATTCATACATTTCACCTCGAGAACCACTTCAAATCCACGAGCGGAACTCACCCTTTTCTAATTGCTACCTCTAGGTCTGACGTGCGAATCGTTCAGAGTCTGACGATTGAACAACTCCAGGGACGACTTATACGACTATACGACTTATAGTACTATTACAAATGAGAAGCAGCAGCTTCGCTTTGTTAATTGTCTTTTTCCGTTCACTTGCTCATCGACAAGGGTGACCGAGAACGGTAAAAGAGAGAACAATCTCCACAGAAGAAATAAAAGCTGCTGCTCCTTTCCTGTCATTCCGATCTTTTCACAACCACAAAGAACGACTTTGCGCGCTGACTGCCAATTCTCTCCTTCCCTCCCCCCCCCCAAAAAAAAAAAAAAAAGAAAAACCTACTAGCAATTTTTTACAGAAAAAAATAAATTCACGGGCACAATACGCAGTTTAAGGTGCTGGCTTTCATGTTCACAAACAAACGCAAATTAAAAAAAACAAAAACAAAAACGAACCAATGCATATGTGGCCCTCAATAGACCTATTGCTAAATTACCCAAGCATCAAGGTGGATGCAGGGATTGGTGTTCCACGCGCCACACGCGCACGCCTTCCCCGTATAAAATATTTGAAGTAAATAACCAAAATAAAGCGTTGACGAACGCGTGTGCAAGAAGTCATTTGTTTTAGGGGTTTGCCTTAGAAAAGTTACTACTGCTGAGGCCAGCACGTGTGGCGGAGCGTAGAACACCAATCCCTGCATTCTCCTTGATGGTTGGGTAATTTATCAATACGTCTATTCATTCAGCTAATCATCCACAAACCAACTACCTCGTTGCCACAGACGTACACAGCCAACACAGCCGCGTACGCGTGTACTTGGGAAACCGATACGGTTTCGTACGCGCACACCCCTCCGGCCACTTCCACAAAGAATAAAAATATATAAGTATAAAACAGCGTGGAAAAGAAGAACTGCACTTTCGACGATGGATCTTTCTGGAAGGCATGTGATCTGCACTCGGCCGCTGGAAATTGCGAATTGGAAAAACATGCAGAAAGCAAAAAACAGGACTTTCTCGAACTTAGCTTTAATTTTGTTTCGGGAAAGGGGGGGGGGGGGCTCGGCTCCACATTGTTCGGCATTGTCTCGGGCTTTGCCTTAAATGACGTTATACCTTTACCAGCTCGTTTGCACCCTTTAGATTTTTTGAAATATTTTGAAAAAAAGTTTGTTTCGGTTTCGGTCGCTTGACGGCATATAGGCTTGACGGCGTCACGGAAACGATGGAGTTGCCACAAATAATTTATGAGTCTTGATTAGTGCAACATTTATTAAGTTATATTATCTATTAGAACGGTCGGGAATACAAAAATAATATTTTTCTCTAGTATCTCATCTACTGAATTCACTTTTTTTTCCCATCTGCCAACACTGCGTTGGCAAGATGCTAACCTCATATCCAAATCCAAATCCAAAAGCAAACACGCGATCCATCGCGGCCATTTTATTCGTGTTTCTTTTGTGTATCGGTTCCTAGTGTATTCCCTCGTATTCGCGTTTTCTACTGTAGTACTGTACCGCGTATTTCTGCATCTTTCCCGTGTGTTTTGTTTTTTGTACGTTTCATTCCTCGCGTCCCTCCCAGTGGGCATGTTCGCCAAAGTGAAATTTCTGCAAGATGGCAAGATATCAACCGTCCAGACAGCTCTTGTGAAGAACTTTCATCCAGCCAACGTGGCTGACTTTGAAAGGAGGACGACTTACAAAGTATTTTGGGATGGGGACGAAAACACTCGAGGTGGATACTACGATGCAGAGATCATCAAGCTGGCGGGTGAGTGATATATCCACAATGGTGGTTCAACCCTCTAGACACTCGTTTGTATGGCAGTTATGCGAATTGTCACTGCACGTCTTGGGCGAATGCACACACGGCGGAGAGTACCGGGTCGGTCAAAAGGAGAGCAGAAAACAATATTAAGTGCATGTAATTAATTAGCGATACGTTATTTGACGTTTTAAGATGTGTTGAGCAAAAATGTTTATTGGAAGAATAAGGCTATACGCACGACGTCCTGCACCTCGACCAGAAAGGACTCGCGACGCGAAAAGTTTTGGTTCTCGTATAAAACCAGCTGTCAATACGAGATTAGCGAAGTTGCACGCAGAGACACCGTCCGTCTTTCGCGGTGAGGGCCATTGCGCACTGGCGCTCACTACCTACTAGCCTCACCCAGTGCCCGCCCACGTCGCGTGAAGAAATGGAACTCTTCGTCGAGAGGTGGCCAGTCATCCCCGCCACTCGCTGTCATAATCCTTGTTGTATATGTGCAGTCGGGGCGGGATGGGGCGGGGGTGGCCGGTCGACGGTTCTCGGGGCGCCGCCGGCGCTGCGCTGGAGCTTGGAGCGCGCCGGACTGGGGTCGGACACATTCGAGTAGGATGTGTTCAGCCCTAGCTCGGCGGGTCCCGGGCTTTGGCATGGCTCTGGGGGCCGTCCGCCTGCTGTTCGCGTTTCTTTCCGTTTCTGACTGTGCATAGTGTTGTTGTCATTAGTGTTTATTGTTTATCTACCCCCCTCCCCCCTCTTTTGTTGTTGCTATTATTTATCTCCCCCCCCCCCCTCTTTGTTGTTCCTAGTGTTTATTGTTCATCTACCCCCCCCCTTTTTTTTTTAAATCTAGTTTGGGTTTTGCAGGCTGTCTGGCTGCCTTTGGCCTTTCTGCCGCACCCCCGTCTCTCCCGAGTAGAAATAAATAAAATGAAATGTAGCATAGCATAGAGGTAATGCGTCTGCCTCAGACACAGCGAACCCTGGTTCAATCCCCATTGTCAACTTACTTTTCTTTTAATTTTTTTTTTAACATTGTGTTTTGTCGAGGCATTTAGCAATATTTACATTTCTTTTGTACGATTAACACTGAAAAAACCGAATGTTTTTGACGAAACTTCGCTCAGCTAATTGGTTTGGGACTCCCTTTCCAGAGGTGCATGGGGGACGGCGGGGCTTGGGTTGCCGGCTGGATGCTTCGAAGCGGGGTATACGGGGGGTTTAATAGTTTTATATTTAGCAGCCAGCAGTTGCATACTGTCCTTGCGAGCGGCGTGGATGCAGGGGGGGAGGGGGGGGTTATCCCACCCCCCCCCCAGCATCCACACTGTTATCCCATCTACCTAAGTCCCTAACCACTCATATTCATCTGTGCTGCTAAGCACAATTGAAATTGCTCCCGTGCTTGTCTAAGACACTCGCTGAAGTGCAATGAAAACTGATCTCAGCTGCTCCTATCCTGCTCCTGAACGTAGTTTTAGCTACTCCCGACCTGCTCCAAAACAGCTGTTTCGGCTGCTCCCGTGGCTGCTCCCAAGTACATTTCATGAGTTCCACCCCTGTCTCCGTGTCGTGCGTGAAGCCACTTCCGATCAAGGTGCACGACGTTGTACGTTGGCTTAGTCTTATTGTTTAGTCTTATTGTTTATTGTTTATTGTTTAGTCTTATTGTTTATTATTAAGACGTTGGCTTAGTCTTATTGCAATTGTTTGTTAGTGTTCACTGAGCAGGGAGCGACGTAGATACAAGCGTTCGTCGGCATTTTTAGTACAGTTCCAATAGGCCAGTGGTCTCAAACTCGTTTGAGGGTGAGGGCCAGATAGCCCATACTGGAAAGTTGGAGGGCCTCCGTAAGACGGGGGGGTAGGGGGGGGGGGGTGAACATTTTAATGAGTAGAGACCTCGTGCCCTATGCTTTTTGTAAACTCACAGTTTTGCCAGTGACATTTTTAAATTTGATTTGTGTATATGACAACTTTGGGCACTGACCTGATGTGATAACAGAAATTAAAATTACACTGCCCCGCCAACGTGCTGGCATTTTTAGTAGAACAAGAGAGCAAGTAATCTATCGTTCCCAGCTCAACATGTCTTTAAAAAACAATAATTTAATTTGGCAGTTGTTGAATTCCTCACTATTTTTATTATAACACTCTGAACAAATAATCGTCTTTTATTGTGATGTTTTTTTGAAGGTGAGAATCCCGAGCTCATGGCTTTATCTTTAGCACTTGCTCCTGCTAAGCGAGAGTTGCGCAGCCGAAATGTATCCTTCAACGAATAGCTCGAGGTTGCAGACAGGTAGCGGAATTTTTGTACATTACAGAAAAGATGGGAAGCAAAGAATAAAGCGAAACAAAGGGCAAATAAACAGAGAAAAGTATAAACCATGTGAAGAGGTGAAAAGAGCGGAGCTACTTTCCGAGTGAAAATGAATCGACGAGATGAGATCACTATGACACATGTCATTTCTAGCGCTCGAGACATGAAAATCGCTGAGGAGCGGGCCTGCGGGCCGCTTCTCAGCGAGTCGCGGGCCGCGTGTTTGAGACCCCTGCAATAGGCAGACTGCCAACTGTCAAAAATCAGCAGGAAAGTATATTTAAGATGGCATTTCGAATTTATTTGTTGACTTCTGATCACATGTCCACTAGATACCAAGGAGAAGCTGTCGGAGCCATCAGCCAGGCGGGAACGGGCATCAGAACCAGCAGCCAAGCGGTCCTCCAGCTTACAAAAGTCAGGAACCCTGACTAAAGTGAGCCATGATAACTATTCAGGGGTCACACTGCGATTTCGAGACTTCAGACATATAGTTGTGGGAGAGTCTCAGTCGCTTCCAGAACGAACAACTATAACCTTTTTTCCTTTCTGCATTTTTTTTTTTTTTCAACTTTTACTGTCCCGAGCAAGCCTTGCACTGGAGCAAGATTTCGTCCCACTGGTTCTTGAGAATTTTCTTTGTTTTAAGACGATCAATGGTTTTGCCTGAAAATACCTGACCCATTCCGGCAGTAAAATAGAGAATTTTTATTTCAGTGTCCCTTTAATGGAAATCTTGCAAATGAAACAAAGTACTGCAAGTATGTGCTTGTTTAGTAAATCACCCTTTCCGTTTCAGAAAAAAAAAAAAATCTGAGGTGCGGTGTAAAAAGCCAAGTTGAAAAGGAGCTGGTGGAGTATCTGGGTGACTCGGAGGAGGAAAAGGAGGAGGAGAACCCAGAGGTGCTGAGGTTGAGGGCCAAGCTCGACAAGCGGGCAGCCAAGATTCGCCGCCTGAAGGCCGAGAACGAGGGCCTGCTTAAACTAAACCACGAGCTGCTGCTTGCTCTTTGCGCAAAAGTGCTTGGAAAAGGTAAATGCTGTTTACTTAGTTCACAGTATGTAGATAGTGATCCTGCATCCATTTCGATTGTACTGGTGTTTTGATGGAAAAGGTAAAAGGATACTCAAATCTAAAAGAAATGCATAAACATTGCCAGGTGTCGAAAGCACGGCCACATTGGTTAAAAAGAGAAACATAAAAAATATGGAGTGGGCAAGCTCACAAGGCATGAAAGCTTAAAAAAAGAAAGATATGTGCAATCCCCACTTTAGGGGTGTGGTGAAACTTGCTACCATCTCATGCAGCAGATTGCCGACAACTCATGGTCATCTTCTACAGTGCTTTTTCTTGACTTTAACACGGCTTTAAGAATGTTGTCAAGAACAATTCCAATTACACCAGCAGCCAGTGGGTGCGACAGCATTATTTGATGGAATGGGCGCGAATGAGCACCTTTGTATTTTAGACGGCAGCTTGTGCCGCCTGGTCGGTGGTAGCAAAATACATGAGTGTCGACTACGTATGCAGCCATCTGCTATGTGGCACAAGCTGCTGTGTGGTACAGCTGTGTATACTATTGCAACAATACCGAATGGTTTGTAAAGTTCGTGTATGTTGTCCTTCTCGATGCCAAACTTCATATCATGCTTATTTGGTAATTCTCGAAATTTATGGACAATCAGGTCTAAACAATGTCTGGGACTCTAGGTTTATTCAGTGTTTGAGTTATACCGCTGTCACACGGGAAAAATAATGTCATTACCAGCAAATGACATTCGGCCTGAAGTGTCTTTCGTTTGCTGCCATACGGCAGTATTTAATGACATTTACTGGAAATGGCATTCACTACTGATTGAGTTATGCCGAACTCATTCGCAGTCACTTTCATGCAAACTGTGTTATCTCGACAGCAGAGACACTGTAGGGCGCAGTAATCTGAGATAATAATAACAAAAGCTTTTAGCCTTTCCACTTTGGTGAAGAAGGAAGACCAGCGGAGTTGTACTATGGTGGGAATGAAGTAATGACCGGCCACAAGTCAGCAAGCCAGAGTGGAAAGGCTCGAAAGGTTGCATCAACTATGAGTGACGGCGGCAAGCAGACAACCGACAAACACAACACTCTGGACAGCTACGCCATCTATGAGTGACGGCGGCAACCAGAGTTTTGTGTTAACATTTCTTTTGCGGTGGACACGATCCTGGGTAAACTAGCCCTATAACAGCTCCGCTGTAAAAGGTACAAATTACGAGTTATTCAGACATATGTTAGTAGATATGCATTTCTTTTTTCTTTTTTTAACTAAAAGACAGTAGAGTGCAGAATGTAAAATAATTACTCGTGTTCTCATCTACCAAATTTGGCGCCTGATGGTCGGCCATGTTAGTTTTAAGTCGACAACGGCGGTTTCAGCGTTTTGATCACGTTTTGGCTATGGATCTCCCCGCTTCAATGTGAGATACTTCTGAGGCAGAAAAACCAAATCAGAAAGCCCACTGGTCTGAAGCTGAGACGTTTGCCCTCGTAAGAGCAGGGGAAGAACACTTGTAAGACTTGAGCCACCGCAAATGAGCACGCGAGCAAACAGTGCTGAACGTTTTGCAACATGTTTTGCAGCTCCCACTTTTAATTTGTGTCTCTGCAGTTCTGTGCGATCTTTCGCACGTAGACACATAAGTACGGTTGCCAGAAGTCAAGCACATGCAAAATCACCAGGTTCACGCTCTAATAACAGCCGTGGCACCACAGGGGCCATGTTGCTACATCGCAATGTAGCTTCGGCTTCGAATTGCTGCGTTGGTGTCCAATCCGGAACCTACAATAATGCTAATAATATAACAAAGTAATAACATCCAGCGTAAGATCTGCTTATTATTGTGTTTAAATAATCTAGGAGACAGTTCCAAGCTATAGACCAGGGGTTCTCAAACTGGGTTCCGAGAGGTAGTCTCATGGGTTTCGCAAAGACCTAAATTTGACCTTCCTGCCCCTCCGTCCCCCACGCCGTGGTCTGCGCGGCAGGATCATGCAAAGCGCCTTCATCTCACTTTGTACTAACATTGCGAATGATATGGTGGCAATATATGAGAAGCAAGCGAAATTGCCTACGATTGTGCTTCTGTTGCTTCTTGGTCGGCAAAAATTTGAGGCAGATTTTTTTTGGTTTCCTGGGGTTCCGTGGGACCAAAAGGTTAGAGAACCCTGCTAAATGTTTAAGAACCCCGCTACAGGCAGTGCTTTTTTTCTAAAATATAATAATGTAATAGTTTGCTACAATGACTGGTGTTCAATCATCATCATGGAGTCTAATGACGTTAAACATGTATGTGCAGCACGTTCTGCAAGAATAATGACATTCGCTGAAAATGACATTGATTTCCCTGTGTGCCAGGGGTATTGTTGACATACCGAAAGGTTACAACGATTGTGAGGATGGCTGTTGTTGAAGAAACATGTACCTAGTGTCGTCATTTGTATTGTTTGCAGATGTACAGTTCATGCCCAGGTAGCCGTTATAATTAAGGGAAGTCAGCCTAATGGCTGACTTTCCTTAATTTGCCATCCATTGCTGGTTTATTGTATATGGGACAGACCTCTTTTACTATTAATTCAGGTGACATTATTTGGTCCCAGAAACAGAGTGCATTTATTGCAGATGGGTGAAACTGTTTCGGCATAGCATTATATTGAGCCTTTTAAGCAGGAAGTTTGATCCATGAAAGAGGTCATTAGATGGAACTGATACATATTTCTAGTGTGCTAGGCATGATATTGGATGTTGGATTATTCTTAGCCCTTCCTGAACAAGTGCCAGGGGTCGCTGTAACAGCGGCTGTTCAAGCGGGGATCTCCGTGCCCATTGGAGGTAAGAAACATTTAGTAGTGCTTTTCACCAGCATTGTACTGAGTTTTATGAACAACTGGATTATTTTTAGCCTCACCTAGGCGAGTCCCAGCTCCACCTAGGCCAGTCCCAGTGGCACACGCGGCCAAAGATGGTAAGAAACATTTAGTAGCGCTTATCACCAGCATTGTGCTGTGAGTTTTATGAACAACTGGATAATTTTCAGCCCCACTTAGGTCAGCCCTAGTAGCAGCTGCGGCCAATGGAGGTAAGAAACATTTAGTAGCACTAATCACCAGCATTGTACTGCAAGTTTTATTAACAACTGGATTATTTTCAGCTCCACCTAGGCCAGTCCCAGCCCCACCTAGCCCAGCCCCAGTGGCAGCTGTGGCCAGTGGAGGTAAGAAACATTTAGCAGCTATTATTTTATCAGGATTGTGCCTTGTGTTTCTAAAAATGAGTTGTTCTCAGCTCTGTGAGTGACGCATGGGATCTTGCTGTTGGCGATCTTGCCTGACGCACGCATTACTTGGGTTTGGGTGCATCTGGCGGGAGCTTGCTACAGACTTGTAAATTTTTAGATAATTAGTCAAACTTTTGGACAAGTGGCAAAGTGAATCGTGTTGAATCAGCATTATATGGTGACGAAATCACTATGAATATGCATCACAGTGTTCATGAAAAGTTCATGCAGTGATGGTTATCTGCATAGTGACGACAAAATTAAGCACATTTTGACATAAAGACTGACAATATCTTTGTGCTTGGTACTGCAGCTTTAGTATGAACGATTTAGTAAGAATCAAGGTTGCTTACTGCTTGAGACCATTTATCACTAAGACAAGCTTTGCGATCGTAGTGTTCATTTGGAAAGCCAGTCTTTAGGTAATTGCAGTCACACGGCCAAAGTTGTTTTCTACCACACAGATTGGCAGAAAGTTACGAACATAAACTTTTTTATTTTTTGCATATTGTTTCATGTCACGATTTGAAATGTGACCATGTGCTTATGCCAGATATGGCTAGCAGCGACCAAAACGAGTCGCAACTAACCGGTTAACCTGACGCAGAAAGAGAGCCGATTGTGCAGAAAATGCGAGTGTGGAAAGCAGCTTCCGAATGCCAACACTCAGCATAATGTCATGCTGAGTTCATAGCGTTTATTCTTCCTTGGGGTTGCTCTGTTTCACCATTCACGCAACGCTTTACGGTTTACCGCGCCTTCTCCATTTCACAAAGGCCACTAGAACAGTCGGGCGTTACAAGGAAGACAAAGAAAACTAGATCGCCTAAAAATAGCATGAGGACCCAAACTGGCGCCTGCGACAATATATCCTCATAATTTGTTGATGTGGAATGCCGCGCTTTCTGCCTACACCCCGATGCGCATGAGTAATGCTGCTAGGGGGCACACCGGATGGCTTGTAGAATTGTTGTATATGGTCCTTTCTAGTGCCAAAATTCATGACTTTATATAAAGTTACTAGCCAGGGCTCCTGGAAACACCTTTCTCTTACCCGACCTTTTTGATCAGTTGCAGGACTACCTGCGGGAGATGCTGGAGGGTCCGACTGCCCACCACGTAAGTTATTTATGGCCCGACCTTTGGGTACTCGGATGTTTATCGTACTAAGAGAACCCATACTTTAGTCAACCGGCGGAATCTTCCTGTACCTCCCATTGGGACTCCAATTGCAGACGGCAGCGCCAAATCTCCCCTAACGGGCGTTGGGTTTCTCCAAAAGGAATAAGAAAAAGACAAAACAATACGCGTGCTGTCGTCATGGCAACCGCTTGGTTATGGGGGAGGGTGTGAGAAGTGTTGTCCCTCCTCTACCTCTCTTTCACCCTCGGCGACAAAAGGATGCAAGTTCGTTCGGAGTTCGAAGCAGCCTCCGAACTCCAAACGAATTTGCATCCTATCTTGTTCTTCTACAAAACAATGTAATCTTTTGTAGAAAAAAAAAAGAAAAAAAGTGTGCGTTTTTTGCGAATGTCTGACGCTTCCGAAACGATTGCACTTGACTTTGCGTCGTTCGAATGAGATCGGCTTGGCAACAGTGCATGTTCAGTGACAGCCACTTCTCATTAAATCGTCAATCAATGGATGCAGAGTGCGCCCAGCCGGTGCTGTTTCGCGGCTTAAGATGTGCGCACATCGCCATTCTGAGCACAAGTCCAAACTTCTTTTGCAAGTTCTTTTTTTATTAGGCACGCTTTTTATGCAGAAAAAAAATTTTACTGCACGGCACAACAAAGTAACAAAATCTACACAAAACTACTATTCAAGTATTCACAGACTTGCAATCACCTATTTAACTTTGCAGTAGTTAGCGACTGTGATTCGATCGCCACGGTCTCTCGCAGGTTCCTTCTGCAGCGCCAGCTGCTCCACGCACGTGCTAGCGAGCTGCGGTGCTCTAACACCGATATTGCCTACACCGCTCATTTTAAGATAAATGCCCTGTCCCTTCTGACCTTCTACAATAACTCTACCATAATGAAACATGCAGCAGCAAGTTTTCGGCAATCCGAAACTGTATAATCAAAAGTATAGCAGCCCGTCTTTACCTTTCATCATTCGGGAACCCAAAGGACTTGGCAGAGCTGTTGCCACTGGAATTAGAGCACCACTGAGTCGAGCAATAGATAAGGTTCCGTGTGCTCGGTGTACTGGTAGAAGAAATAGACCGATAACCAACAGGTCTATTTTAGACCTGTTGTATGCCTTCACCATCCTCGCCTTGTTCTTAAGAATGGTTATAAAGCGTGTGCATCTCAAAACGGCCCAAACTACTGTGGCGCAACGACAAGAACCCCTCCTGATCAGTGACGCAGATCAGCAACTCTACGCGAGATGACAGTGGCGCCTTTGGTAAGCGTGCCAAAGCTAAAAAAACAAAGTGCACAGACTAGAAAAAAAGGAAACAAAACAACAGACGTGTGCCATGTTCGTTTTTGCTGCTGGATAAGGATGCCAACTTGTGCCGCCTAGCAACTAAAAAGTAAACCTGGAAGACCGAATCGGCCGGGCATGCAAGCGCGAGCGCTCTTATTATCGGATTATATTTTACAGCGGCGCTGTTAAGGGCTTGGTTCCCGAGGATCGTGTCCGGTACAAAACACTTGTCGACAAAAACGCCTCTGGACAGCTACTGCCATCTATAAGCGACGGCGGCAAGCACACAACCAATCTGGTTGCCGCCGTCGCTGGTAGATGGCGGCAACCTTTCCAGCTATCATAGAAGAATGGATTGTTGGGCGGCGCGTTGGTGGGAATTCATCGTAGGAAACAGTGCGAAAACAGACGACGACAAAGAAGAAGCACACGTAACGAGCGCAGCGCTCGTCACATGTGTTTCTTTGTCCTCGTCTGTTTAGCACACTGTTTCCTACGCTCTTGTCAGTTTCGGTTTGGACTTACGATGGGTCAGCCGCGTGCCCTTTCGGGGAAAGAAGACTGGCTGCGGAAAGAGCGGCGACGTACGCAGCAGTGCGAATGGGTCCGTAACCACCGCAAAGCCGCTGTCGCCTCGACTTCACTACGTCGAGCGCTTCAGATTCCCTTGCCAAAGAAGAGCACATCGCTTGCCTGGAAAGCCGCCGCCGAGAACAAAGCCAGCGATGTAAAGGCCGTGGGCAGGCCAACACCACGGATGACGATCGTGCCACGGAGGCCAAACGCAAGTGCGAGGCCCGGCGACGACTGCACTCCACGCCGGCAAAACAGTTGCCGGGCGCGACGGTGATGTTCCAGAGGGAGTCCGAGGATTACACGTCTGGCGTCTCGTGCACCGTGTGCGACCTAAAGTTCCTTCATGTTTCGAAAGTAGCGCAAGGTGCATCGATACACGAGGCACGTGCAGCCCTTGGGAAGATCATGGTGGCACAGCGCAGCACTGAGTTAGATTTGAGACGCCATGAATTTCTCAGAAGTGGGTGCGGCACATGCCTCGAGCATTTCTGCAACAATGAATGGCGCCACTTTTCCCAGGATAGACAGGCTTTAGTGCAACCGACTCTGGGTCAACGGAGACGTATCCACGATCGGCGGCGTGTCGGACAAGAAGAATCGGGAAACGGGCGCGTGCGCGTTGCAGCAGTGTATCGAGTGCAGCTCCGCTGGTCTTCCCTCTTCACGAGAGTGGAAAGGCTGAACGTTTTTCATGAAAAGTTACGGAACCATGGAAATATTGCAAATTATACATATATATGTATATAATTATACAAATTTCAAACCAACCAAGATGAATTATCGGGGTTCTACTAGATGTTTTACTGCGTGTTCCACCAGTGAAGCTCTTGCAAAGAGTTTCTTCAAGCTCCTAGAGTATAGAAAAATCTGAATATTAACATGATCCTGTTTGCATTTGTATTAATGTTCAAATTCAAAAGCTTTACACTGTCATAACTTTAGTTAATGTGAAATTGTTTTTCAGTTGCTGAGGTGGACGGCCTTGCTAAGAACGAGATCGTGGATCACACCATCGGCCTCCAAAATGAGGATGAAATGGTAAAATAAAAATTTTTTCGCAGTTTCATGCAATGTATGGTATACCGTATAATCGCGTGTCAGGGCCGCACCCCCATATTTAGAACAAAGCATTGCAAAAAAAAAAATTACTAAAATTATTTGCGTATGCACCGCACCCCCTTGTTTTTGAGGCGTGCCGACTGTAATGCCACGTTTTCTATGAATTTGTATCGCTAGGTGGCACTAGCCACCGCCGGAGCACATAGCAGCACGTGTCCGCATCCCTGATATCTGCTCTCCACTCATCCGTATCACCGTATGGCATAATGGCTGTCGACCTCGATCGTGGTCGGCGGCACTAATGGGATGCGTTGTGTTGCAGCAAGGCGTTGAGAAAAGATAAAGGATATGTCAGGTTCCGAGGCAAGCGCGAGGAATGGGGATTTAGCGGGCTCGGCTCGCGCGTGCACTAAGTTTTCGAACACCACTGTACGCTCTGGGGAGGTTTCCTTTTGTTCTTCGATTTGTGTCAAAGTGTCGCAATTTGTCTGCCTTTTCGCGCAATCTGAGAGCTATGGGCAAGTACCACTTCAACAGTCATACGGGATTGAAGTCAAAAGTTGCCGCGCATGCTATCAAGTACGGAAAAAAAAATAAAAAAAGATGCGTATTGCGCTGTATGTAAACTAATTAAATCCGACTGACGATTGAGTTTGAATTCCGGAGTGAAGGCGTTTCTGACCAGTGCAGCCGAGTGTGCTCATGTACGTTCATTTCGGAATGTGCATACAGATATATTTTTTTTTTAATCCGTGTATGGGGCTTCACATAGAAAATTGGCCCTCAAACCGGGAAAAAATAGTGCGGCCCTTACACGAGTTAATGCGGTACATTAAAAGAACAGGGTGGTGTACGCACAGTAGATTGAATTGATTGCTACCATAAGCCTTTAAAACATTATTGTAGCCAGGCTCTTAATTGTAGTTATAGCCAGGGCCTGCAAATGTTTTATTGTCACGCTCACATGATGCAACTAGGGGTTACATACCTGTTTGATGCAAGTGACATGAAGCTTTGTGGGCTCATCAACTTTGCAGATGCCCATGTGGATGAGATTTTAAAGGTAGTACTGTTTTAAATTTAAAGGCCTACATTTTATACCTGTAATTATTTAGTGCTTTTTAGATGCACCTTCTTGGAGAATACAGTACTACTTTGTGTCAACTCGACTGGTATGTGTGAAACTTTCTCGGTTTTGTTTATTGCAGATCCATGCTGGGCAAGGAGTCTACATCAATCAAGAATCCTGGATGGAGATGCAGAAAGCGGAGAGCGACTCCATGTTTTGTAAAATCACGGCCTCTTCCATTTGGCCAGTGGAAGTGCTTTTAGAGAAGTCAGTGACCGGCACCCTCTCCAACAAAGCAAAAGCAGCGGGGCAAGAAAAAGCATTTGCCCCACTTACTCCGCACAAGGTGCAGGCTCTCTCAGGTAAGCAAGCATTTTGTTTAAAATCTTGATACAATCCTCGCGGGGTCGCGTAAAATATTTCATGCTAAATTCGTATCAACAAAAGCGAAATGAAATTTATATTTTGAAGCACAAGGAATGCATTACCATGGATTTATTTATGGCAGAAAATATCTTGTATGTAATTTGCACGATTCTAACATGCCCCCGATAGTAACACACAGTTATATTCAACCCATGAATATTAAAAAAATTGGTGCCCATTCTACTGCGCAGATAAAATATGACGGCTGAACAACATACACCTCGTAGAAAGCATTTTATCAAACTCACATACTCGAAAGTGCCCACACTGGGTGCTATTGAAGCCCTACATCGAACACTCTCGATATTCGGTTCCTTTGTCTTTTCAACCAAGCTCGCATGTCACCGTGGACCACACCGAAGACACGACCAACACCACTCGGTTTTCTCTTTTTGCCAGTGCGATCACTTTTTTTAAAGGTAACCTTAAAGTAAAATTGGTTTTGCTTTTCCAAGGTTGAACCACGATTCCACAAGATCGCAAAAACAAAACAGCGAATTTGGATTCAGATTGGATTTGATTTGAAGCATGTGTTGATGGTGATGGGGCTGGCCACTTTGCACAGTTCTTTTAGCATTTTGTTTAGTTTTAGTTTTTGTTTCAGATTGTAAAACGCATTTAATTTTGAGCTCACGTCTTTGAGTAAACAAAGTGCGGCTGACCCCTGGCTGCAGCCGGCAATCAGCTGCCCGGAGCCTTGGGAGCTTACAGTCACCGATTGTGGCCTCCTTACCATTATCAGATGCGGGGCATGCATTCATATCAGTTGTTGCAGCACGTCGAGGTATTTGGAATACCAGAAAATTTTCACGTTGTGTACATTGCGCTTTGACCGGGGAATTCGTGAATTCGTTTCATTCTGAAATTCATACCAATTAGTATCACCGAGATTTTACTCTAGTAGGTTGTCCGCTAACACCCGGACGTGTGACCTGCCAAGAATGAAAGTCAAGCATAACAGATAATAACCGTAAATAATAATCTCACATTTGTATTTTGAAAATATGGTTTTATTTTTCGTTCTAAGCCGCGAACTCGAGCAAGCGCTCGAAGAGAAGTCAACGGAGTGTGCGATGCGTCGTGGGTTATCCGGCAAAGTTGCGGTTCGGTTGCATAGTGGTGGTGTAAACATGCTACAGCCTAGCCATTTGAAACACCTGTGGGCTTCGCATGGACCAACGTGGACTAAGCCAACTAAGCGCCCACGTGTGAGATAAGTCATGTCAAGGTCATCGTGTTCAGGGCGAGATTACTCCAACAGTTGAGTTACCTCCAAAGAGTGGCGCTACTCCGATGTGTAGTGCAGCTACGTAGCGGTTTCTGTTATGTCACCACTATGTCACAAGATCTCTAACCTTGCTAGATTACCTCCCAACGAAGCTTTGGGGGCATCCACCAGGTGCACATTGAAAGACTGTTTAACTAGCTTTGAATTTAGTTTTCTCGTGCCTTTCAACGAAAGATTGTTGTTTTCGAGGTGATACTGCAACTTAGCCCATATCCACGCTAGCAAATGAGCTCTGGAATTCCGTTTCCGTGCCCCTTTAAGATTTACTCTAAGCTACATTCTGGACTTTGTGTAACTTCTTGTGCAAGCACATTTTTTCGAAAAGCACCAATTAATTCCTAGAGGAATTTAACTTCGGCATTATGAAAACTTGTTTGTTTTGCTTTATCTACTTATTTTTCTTAGTGGGGACACATGCATCAGATTAAAATTCAAAGCAGCATGTTGAACTAAAAGAGAAATGTGCAAAAATGCAGGAACAAACATTCCCTTGTTTTTAATAGCCTACGCTACGAAAGGTATTCACTTATATTGGCTATTAGTTTCAGGGAAGAAAAGCAACATAAACTGTTCCTCTTAGCTTTTGCATTTAATTTTCTTATGGTCATAATCGACTTGCTGACATGTATATTCGTGGTGTGAAATGCACTTTTTATGATGTATGCCAACTGTAGGGGGTAAATGTTCTGAACTCATTTAAACCATCAGTTTCTCTTTTTTGTTCAAGTGACTCCGAACCTAAGGATTGCTTTGTTATGGAGATCTCAGATTGTTATATTGGTTAAGTAAAGAAATAATGATTTGGAGTCTTTTAGAAGGTTAAGCAAAAACAAGCAGCTATAATATCCTGAGGGTAACCTAACTTAAAATTTAAAGTTAGGTGAACATATAAGGTAGACTACCTCATAGAGTGCTACCAAAAAGGGTTATAAATATTGTAGCCAGGCCATGAATGGACGATCTTTTAAGGAATGTGAAAGATTGTTTTTATATAGAACTGCACTGGTTGTTTCTGCTGTTCATAATTCTATTTTTAAATTCTGTGGCCTGTCTAAGCTGTTACCACAGCGAGAGATGAGGACCAAATGTAAGCAGTTTTCAGTGTTCATTGTCTACTTATCTCCAGTTGCAGCTCCTGTTTCTTACAAAGTCACTGGCCTAACAGTGAGATTTATAGACATGGGTTACCTGTTTTGTGCTTAAAAGAATCTAACGAAAGCCAGGGTGGGCCGTCTATTGGGAGTGGAACATGCATCAGGATGCTGCGGTACTTTTGCTTTTATGGTAATCTCTGAACTGTCTAAATTCTAAGGTGCCAGCTGCCAGTTAACTGCTTCCATTGAGACTAATTTACACTTGGTCTTCTTAAACTATGACCCTCCAGCCTGTATGTATGGTGTTCTACAAAGTTTTAAAGGGATGCTGAACAAAAATCTGGATTCCGCAAAACACGGCGGCAAAAGCGTGCTACAGGATGCTACGAACACCAAAACATCACTCAGACAGAGATATCTCGAATGGATGACCGTATTCTAAAAAAAAAAGAGGCGCATTTGACAGATATGTTCACGTCTTGTTTTTCCAAGAAAGAGAGGGAATGGCCTCGCGTCTTCTCCGCCTCGCCGCTTTGAGGGGGCAAAGCGAAGAAAGGAGGAAACGAGATATCTTCACATCACGTGCCTCGTCGGCCTCATTCAATCTCAACCTCTTTTTCTAAAAATACGGCCATCCATTCGAAATGTTGCCTTACTAGTAGTGTTGTAGGGATTGTAGCGTCCCGCCTACAGCTCCTGCTCTGTATTCTGAAGTCCAAATTTTGGTTCAAAATCCCTTTAGGTCTGAGCACTGCAAAGAATTATTACCCTGGATTTTCCATATTCCAGGCTGCTTTTGGCTATACCTAAGGGAGAGGGGGTACCGCCAGGCTGAAAGGGCAGCCCGGCACCAGAAGATGCGCCGGTACCTGTCCGAAAAGCTGTCGGATCTGAGGAGAAATCGCTAAAAAGGTATGTGCTTGTATAGTATAACCTTCTTAATTAAGTAACATACTATTTTGGGTCTCAAGTTTACAAGCAATTATTTTAAATTATGGTATAGATAAATTATTTAGAGGTTAATATATCTCTAAATATTTATGCAAACAACTTTAAAGTAGTGTGTTGATCAGATGACCACTTGAAAAGGCTGTGGGTTGCTTGATTGCTATTGCTACTCCGTCAGGCTGTGCTCAATAAATCCCCAAAACGTTGCATGGTAACACAACTACAATGAAGCATGTCACTGTTACTGTCCCTCTGTCGTCTCTCGAACCACTCTTTTGTTGACGTATGTCAATAATCTTCCTGTGTTTGGTCTCATTGGTCACTAAATTGCCCTTGATATGTCCAGGCTCATCCCTTTGCCCTGTCCTGCCCCAACGTATGGTCCCGCCACGGACTGCTCATGCTGCTGCAGGTCTGCCATCGCTTGCACTCGATGCAGCCTTTTCACCGTTTTTTTTATATTAATTTAGCTTAAGTTATATATTGGAAATACTGTTGAAATGGAACAAATGTATTATTGCAGCCAATACGAGCCGAAATGCCACTACGCGTGGCGCACGATACTATGAGAGTTGTCTCTCGGATTGTTCAGTAAACCTCAGCATGCGCTGAGGTGGAGACAAATCGCTTGCGCTCATTGCACCACTATGCCGTTCCGTGTCAAAATCTAGCTCATAGTGGTGCAATGAGTGCAATCAGCAATCTGCCTAAACCTCAGGAAACACTGAGGTTCGCTGAAAAATCTGACAGGTGGTGCTGATAGTACCCCATGCCACGCGTCATGGCATTTCAACTCATATTAGTCACGATGTTACTTCCTCAGATGTTGTGGTTTTTCTGTACCATATGCTCCCAGCAAAGCAATGTATAATGTCATAATTTCATAATAAACATATCAAAGCAACGCAGCTTGTTTGACTTTATTCTTATTAGTAGCTGCATTTGCCGTACTCATACGTCAGGCTGGCGATTACTAGTGTGCAGTGGACAATATAATTCAATTCTAAGTGGGACATGCATTTCGTCACGCTCCAAACATGGCGTAATTAAATTTCCACATGATGCATTCACATATTGTCGTGCTTTGCACTCAACCATTTGTTTAAGTGGTGGCCAACTCGAACTTCAATGTTTCAAATTAGCCATCAAACCACCATAATCCAATTATTAAAAATGGACGTCCCAAAATACGACAGGTTAATCGACCATCAGACCATCAGACCATCAAACCATCACACCATCAAACCATCAAACCATCAAACCATCAAACCATCACACCATCAAACCATCACACCATCAAACCATCAAACCATCACACCATCAAACCATCAAACCATCAAACCATCAGACCATCAAACCATCAAACCAACAGACCATTAGCCGTCCCAAAATACGACTCCATCAGACCATCAGACCATCAGGATTTTCCTGATGGTCTTTTCGATAGGGAAACGCCACCAGGTGATGCTCCAGTCTTTGGCGTCCCAGATAACTTTATATAAAGAATGAACAAAGCCCACCCTAACACCGCTGCTTGAAATGCAGATGAAACATTTATTCACCAATTCTCCAGGTAAACGCAAAAAGAGCGAAGAAGCGCAGGATCTGTTTAAAAAGTTTCGAATATTCTTGAAAACCAACTTGCCTCCTTCAAAATGTAATATTGTCCAGCCGAGGGCGCATGTTAAATCTCCAACTTTGATGTACGTGTAGCATTCATGCTTTCTAGCACTGATGACAAAAGCAAGCTCGACAGAGTTGCAAAAACGGAGCGACCGGAAGTCACTTGGGACTCAGGAGGCAGTTCATGGTTGTAAAGAGCAGAATGCTCTATACCAAATGATTGACGAAAGAAAAGTGAATGCACTGTACCAAAACTTTTTATACGTTCAAGGATAGGGACGTCATTCCCCACGTCGCGCACTGCCGTCGCCGCTGCAGCTTGTAAAACAGTAATATTTACAAAGAAACGTAAGCGGTGAGCGCTACGTGCTTCGCATTGTTATCTGAAACGCCTTATCATAATTTATGTGGTTCGGATGCCTGATTTTTGCTTGTTTTTAATTTAAACAAATGCAGTGCTGTATGATGTATGCGTGATAAGCACTTTGCGTTTCAATCGATGAAGGTTTTTTTTTCTTTTTTTTTGTGAGGACGATTGCACGAAGAAAGTCCAGAAGACCGCCCTGCGAGTCATATAGAGCTTCGCTGTTAAAATGTCCCAATAAAAATGTTTATAGTAACAATTTTGTTTTCTAAGCGCTAGAAGAGTTTTTTTTAGTTGCGCAACTTTTATTTGATGCACATTTAGTTTGATGTGTACTAGTGACGCTTCTTCAGTCACTTCAGTTTTGTCCAGTGTTGGACAAAACACTCGATAGAAGAATTCAAGTTAAGTTAGTAAATACTTGCGTTATAAAGTATTTAAAATACCACACAAGTTACTTCCACTGTAAAATATCTTGAGAAGAGTACGTAATAGTTACAAATGTAATACAATTACTTCTGAAGATACTTCCGAATCGCGTAATTTGTCTCGACATCAGTGGCAAACAAAATTATCGAGTTGCGCAAATCTGGTTTGCCAGAATAGTTTATTTGCATGCAACAGCACTAAACAACAAAAAAATACGGAGAAAATCATCGTAGATTTGTTTTATGAAGACCAATTATAAGGAGCAGGGTATCGGTGATATGTGTTACGGAACGTTTCTGGGACAACAAGAGGAAAAGAGGTCGCTTCAATTATAGTGACATCGTTGAATATCACGTCCTGCGCTGCACCTTAGACGCATCGTTTAACTACAATTCATATTTCCTATTTCAAAAGTTAACAATAAACGAACTTGGAAAACGGAAATGAGTGAATGAATAATCAAGAGACCCCACATAATGGCCATGGCACTGGTCGCACCTTCTTAAGGCAGGTTGCGTTCAGAAAGGCACACAATGTTGGGGGACGCTTTCTTGGCATTTTGACAGGTCATCCTGCTCATAGTTCGTTTCCTGTCCTGTTCTCTTGTTATCAATGCTCGCGTACAGACAGTGTTTATGAGAGCAATAGGTGCCGGACTGACGACGAGAAATATACTCGACGTTTTGCCGTAGGGGGGCTAAATACACAATAAGCAAACAAAAGAGTGTCTTATTTTTGTGTCCACCTTCCATTTTCCTCCTCTTTTTTTTTTTTTTTACACTGAAGTCTGCAATGTTGTCATGGGTCCTACCGCGTTCCGCCTCAGTGTGGGAAACTTTACTTTCTTTATTTTGGGGGTGAAATATGAGTTACATTCGGCACAAAAGCGATGTTTTCACAAGCTCAGTCTCAGTCACCGTAGCATGAGCTAGAAACAGAATTTGGCTGCTCGAAAGAATTTTCACGTTTCCTCGTGCCGCGCCCACGCCACTTCATACCAAAAAACTCGGACAATGGTGGAATGTCAAAAATATATCTGACATAATGAATACAAGATATTCAGAAATATAATTAAAATACAGTATCAAATACTCCTGATCAAAAGTATTTGCAAAATACCAAGATACTTGAAAAAGTATTTGAAATACTGTATCTTGAATAGCGTATTTGAGATAGACACAAGTCTGCTTCATGCTCTAACCGTTCCACCTGGGTAGCAAGAATTTTCCTTTCATTGTTCGCCACGACGATTGTAAGTAAACAGCTTCGAGGTTATATATTGTATTTTCAATCAAATAGAAAACAATATTAACAGGCATCACTCCGCTTCGGCTTCTCCAGGTGAATCTTTCCCAACCTTTATGGCTTATTCAGATATTCTCGTTTTTCGGTACGACCACTTACAGCCAGGGCGTTGAGCCGGTCATTATTGCTGTTCGGTTCTGGGGTCGGGTTCGACAGCTTTTCTTCTTTTTAATATCCGCGCTTAGCTTGTTGCTAATAGTTTTAAACCCTCATAGTATAGCAATGTTTCATGACATAATAAACTTATATACTTGATTACAGGCCTTAATTCGCGTGTTTAAATCACATGAGATCCAATCTTTCTTCGACATTTTACACATCTTTCAATCATGCCATGGAAATGACAGGTCCTATCACTTTTACAAAGAGGTCCAAAAAGCGTGTTTGATTTGTTTTAGTGATCTTAATTCTGTACCACATTCAAATTTATGTTCCAAACCAGGCGACGAAAATTTTCAACATAACTGTCGTCAATGTTCCTACGCATCGTACATGTATTAGATCATAACTTCGTGTATCTTTTACATTCACTAACGCAAGATTGTGATAGATGGTCACTTAAGTCACAAGTTGAGACACCGGCACCCTTTCTACGACAATTGGTAAAGTAGAGATCAATTAGCGTTTCTGTTTCCTTTGTTATTCAAGTTGGTAAGTGATTCATAATGTTCCGTCCATTTGACTCAAAAATAGCAGGATGTTCGAGGTTGCCTCTAACTGGCGATTTTATGTGAGTAGTAGAACAGCATAATAAAACAATAGAAAGATTAAGCAAAGTAACATGCTCCAGAACATCCTCAACAAACCTAAACAACTCTGTCAGTGACGGAGCTGTGGGTCATGACGAAGTTACGAACTTACGAAATAAGGAGCAGCCTTTGCCTGGGAACAACATTTGACGAAAGATAAATACTCAAAATTGGTGTTCAAGTATTCATACAGAGCTTCTTAATTTAGCTTGTTACAAAAATAAACAGTGACCCCCCCCCCCCCCCCCCCCCGCACCTCTGTTCCTGCCAGTTCGGTACACTTCGTCAACCTTATATGCTGTGATCCCGATAGCAGCATTCGTGCTGGTGAACCAAGTTTGAGTGAAAGATATCGAATATCTTATTTAAGAAATAGATACATATCAATGTTATCGTATTTATTGCCACAATTTCTGGTGTTTGAATTAAGAAGTGATACCATATCTTTGTTGGGAATAAGACGTTATTTTACAAGACCTTTAAATGACACCTGATCATGACAAGTAGTTGCTGCGTTCGTCATCGAACAGACGAAGTACGCGTCGTAACCCGGAGTTTTTCCGCAGCATCTTGTCTAGGTCAGCCTGGCATTGAATCTTTCCAACACGGTCTCCTGTTTTTTTCCGCACAGACAAATCACCACTTTTTTTGCCAAACGAACTTGTACCTTTTTTCTTCAACTTCTGCCTTCAGCAATCAAAGAAACCTCTTGTGCATTGCAGTCAAGTTGCCAAGTATCCCGATATAATATTGAGTGCCCCTAGGGCTTCGTCTTTTTCTAGCCACTGACCGGGTTGCTCAAATAAAAAAATAAAAAAAAAAAAAAACTGCACGGCCGTTTTTTTTTTTTTTCTTTTTAACTTTTGCATGCAGTCCATGGAGGCCCTTCACGTCATCCACCCCCACTTCTGCTAGTTGTAATTAGCGTCGGCAGTTCATTTACTCTTCGAAAAAGGTACTTGCACTTGGCGGCAGTCCTTTAT